GCCCCACCTTGGCCAGGCTGACGAGGGTGCCCTCTCGCTGGGTGTCCACCTGCAGCGCCCGCTCTGCGTCGCGCTCTGCCCGCTCCTTACTCAGCCTCTGCTGAGCCGAGAGGTCGGCCCACTCGGCCGACAGGCGCCCCCGCTCCTCGGCGCACCGGTGCATGACGGCCTTCTGCTCCTCCAGCAGGGCGCTCTGGGGGTGGGGGGCGCGGGCTGAGGCCGGGCCGGGCGGCCTGGGGACCCCGCGGGGCCGGGACTCACCTTGGCCCGCTCCAGCTCCTCCCGCTCCATGGCGGCCTGCCGGACCACCACCTTCCTCTGCTCCTCCAGGGCGCGCTGGGCAGACTCGGCCTTGAACTGCTCCGCGCTCACGCGCCAGCGCTCCTGCAGCAGAGGCGGGGCTTCCGCTCAGCAAGCTCCGAGTCCACTGCAGACCCCGGAGGTGATAGTGCTGGGGCCCGAAGCCTGGGATTCCACGTGGTGTGTGGGAAGGACGCCCCCCAGCCAGGGGAGATGGGCACGTGATGCGCCACTGGGTGAAAGGGCAGCGGCAGCTCTGGCCCTAGCCCTCACCCCAGTTGCCTCCCACCTTGAGCTGGGGGTGCCTGAGGTTCACAGGTCAAGCAGCGAGTACACGGGGGCAGGAGGGGGTACGGGGACGCAAGCTACGAGGGTTCTCTGCTGATGGGTCTTGCGGCCTCCTATGACGTCCGGCTTGGGCGAGTTCCCTCCGCGAGGGTTGTCTGGACCTGACCCGCACACGGTGGAGATCTTGTGATAACTAAGGCAGGGTTCCGCCCCTGTGCGGGGCAGGCGTGTGCAGGGTAACGAAGGCGTGGTGTGCTCAGGCAGGAGTGGCTGGGCCTGGGCTCGGCGCCAGGAAGGGGGGAAAGGGACCCAGCAGGCAGCCCCCCAGCCCTCCCTCACCTGCTCTAGGAGCCGGCTCTGCTCGCCCAGGCGCGCTTCCATCTTGGCGATGACCTCCTGCAGCCGGCTGCGCTCCGCCTCCATGTCCCGCTGCTGCTGGCCCAGCCTCTCCTGCAGCACTGAGGGTGGTGCCGCTCACCGCCCGCCTGCCCGCCCAGCCCGCTCCACCTGCCCGCCCCTGTGGGCCTATGACTTCCCTACCTGTCCAACTTCCTCACCTGGACAGGTACCTCCTGGAATCTCGGGAACTGAAGTGCAGGTTCTGAAGAGTCAACAGCAGAGAAATGAGGAGGGGCCCCGGCGGGTGCCGAGAGCTGGGCCCTTGTGCCTAGAGGAGTCCACAATCTCGTTGGCTGGCCCCAGGAAGGTCTGTGGCCTGCCTTCCTCCTCCCGGAAGCCAACCCCAAGCAAGGCGGGAAACCTACCAGGGGCAGAGGGCACTCCGGGGGCCGGTCTGCTCTTCAGGTTGGCTGTAGGGGTGGTTGAGGCAGCTTGAATCCTAGTCACAGGGGACCTGAAGACACAGGTAGGTGAGGTGGCAGGCAGGAAAGGGGAGGGTGGGCATAGGTGCGAGGAAAATTCCAGGTTCCGATAACTGCACCAAGCCTGGTGGCAGTAGTGCCCTCAGAGTGAGACTCCCACTGTGCTAAGTGCTTGAGTGGAGGGTGGGGCTGCTGCCACAGGTGCTGGCTGAGCTGAGCTCAGACCCCCTGGAGTACGCAGTGGAAATTTCCCAAGGAATGCTGGGTGGGTTCAAACTACCAACTGTGTGGCTGACACCCCACCCCCACGTCCCTCGGGTCAACCCCGATTCACAGCTACCCTATCGGTAAGAGCAGAACTGTTCTTGAGATGGTAAAACCATCACAGGGTCTGACAGCCTCATCTTTCTCCTTTAAAGCCACCGGTGGGTCTGAACTGCCAACCCTGAGGTTAGCAGCCTGCTGCATAAACCACCAGGGACTATGTGGTACTGAAGAGGCAGGAAATGCCCTGCCCAAGCTGAGTCAGCTCCCTCCCAGTGTCCACCTCTAAATCCCACTGGTTCCCACAGACCCCTCGCTCACTCTTCCTCTCCCCCCACAGGCACACCTCAACTCTCCTGGCCTGGCCGCCGCCGACACGGTGTCCTGTGCTGCTGTCCCCGGGGTCTGTCCAGGAGCTGCCTGCTCAGTCCCTGGGGCACGGGCAGCAGGTCGGCTGAAAGAAAGCAAGGAAAGCCTCGGGCTAGGCTGGCTGGCGAGGTGTCCAGGACCAGGGATGGCTCCCACCAGCCCCCCTTCTGGATGTCAGAGACACTCCACGCCACCCTCCATCCCTTCCCGTACAGCCCACCACACTGCCTGAAGTCCACACAGGGCAGGGACTGGCCACTAGCCATCTGACATGCTGTGCACCAGCCACGGTCAAGTTCAAAGCATCCCTGAGGGCCTTCTCAGGACGAAGGCCTGGCTCAGCCTCCCAGGTCCGCCAGCCAGGGGCACTCTCCTCCTCGATGCCCCCTCAGCTCTCAGGGCCTCCCTGCTCTGAGTTTCAGGACGGTCACCCAGCCCTCCTCGCACTCACACCCTCCCTGTCCCGGTGGTTACTCTGGCTGTAGAGCAGTCTTGTCGCATCCTGGGGTGTGGGGGAGGGGTGCCGGCTGGCAGCCCTCAGAGGGTGCAAACTGACGTGTGCACCCCCACTGTTCTGGAGCTCCCAGTGGGAGCTGCTTCCCAGCCACCGGGGCTAACACTGGGGACCCCTGTCTGCCCGCCTGGCACAGGGAACTGTGGCGGTGCTTCTGCTCAGAGGCCCTGCAGGCCAGTCCTTGCCCCTTGGGCACCTTGTCCCAACAGAGGTCAGGGCAGGAGTGGGCAAGAGCCACCTGGATTCAGCGTCCGTCTACAGCTGCACACCAAAGAGCTGGTACCCGGAGAGGAGAGGGTAAAGGTGGACGAGGCGCAGGCCCAGGCCCACTGCCTGGGCTCATGTGAGGACCAGGGTGGGGGCAGATACAGAGTCCGCACCTGCCAGGTGGGGGGTGGTCCTCAGTGCCCGCCGAGGTCCGGGCCTGGGAGGCCCCAGCCTGTTCCTCTCTGACGGGACCTTGGAATTTCTTCCGAGACAAGGCGTGGCTCAGCCAGTCCCCCTCATCTTTCTCCTCTGATACTCCTGGCTTGGGGGCCTGGTTGGCTTTGGGGGGAGAACCGACCCCCTCAGGTGGCCTTGCCCTGGAGCCGGGCAATCTGGCCGGGGCTGAGTGGGGTCCAGGAGCTGGGTGCTGGCTGGCAGGAGGTGGTACAGAGAGCTCGGAGTCGCCCCTCCGGGCCTCTCGGGTGGGCGAGGAGGGGAGTAGGTCCAAGTCCTCATCGTCCTTGAGGCCCAGCCAGGCGGCACCTCCCTTCTTCGGCTGGGCGGGGCTAGGGGTGGCTGGCGTGTTCTGCCGGGAGCCCAGGCCACCTTTGGGGTTGGAGCCGCTTTCTGCTAGGAATCTACTTCAAGACAGAGGTGAGGGTGACTGAGGTTGGGGACGCTGCCCATGCCAACAGCCCCTCCTCCCTCACTGCTGGCAGGGGACTGTCGGCCCAAACCCAGGACCCTGCAGAGCCAGTCTGAGGCTGGACACCTGGACGCCACCACCTGCACTGAAAGGCGCCCACCTGTGAACACAGAAGGCTTCAGCCGTGTGTGTGTGTGTGTGTGTGTGTGTGTGTGTCCCCGTGTCCATCTCACGGCCTGAGCAGGGGCAGCGGGCGCTGAGGCTCAGGGATGGACAGGGCGGGGAAGGCACACCCACATGCGCGTGAGCTACTGGGAGTGGGGAGGGGAGGAGGGCAGCGGTGGTGGCGCGGCGGGAGCTTCAGCTTTTCTGTCACCTTGAGAGGACTACGACACTGGGGGATGCGCCACCGGCCGAAGGTCCAGCCGCTGACTCCCAGAGCTGCCGCGTCCCCTCCCGGGAGCAGCCTCCACAGGGGCACAGCCAGCTGCAGTCGGACGGCCTTGCCCGCCCAGAGTAGGAAAACCAATGGTGCCCGCAGCCAGCTGCAGCACTGGGGAGGCCTCCGGGGGTCAGGCATGGCCAGGTGGGGAGCAGGCTCCCCACTGAGGCAGCCGCCTCACTTGTCTGGCAGCCTGGAGCAGGCAAGCTCACTCTCCCCTCAGCACCCATAGGGCCCACGGCTGACCACGGGCCCCAGGGCACCTGTTCTCTGGGGACAGCCTGTCTCCGAGGGCACAGGCCACCGGGCATGGCTTACCTGACGGACTGCCTGCGGGACTGGCTGCCCTCCGAGGAACCCACGGTAGGCTGGTAGGCCCCAAAGGAGAAGTCCTCATCACCCCAGGCGTCATCTTTGTCTGTGAAGTTAGACCAGTAAACCCCCGCAAGGGTGGCGTCCCTCTGCTGCAACAGAGCCGCCCGGGCGCCCCAGGGAGCTGCTCACCCTGTGGCCGCTGGTACTTCCTGTCCAGTGTGAACTCGCGGTGCTCGCCCGTACCTGGGCGCATCAGCAGCCTGGCAGAGGTGCCTCGGCCCAGCAGCTCATCAAGCTTGGAGCGAGCGGGGCGGGGCCCCTCCCTGCAGGGCGGGGCGGGGACAGGGCAGGTTGGTGGGGCCAGGTAGCCGCCTGCCCTGCCCTGCTCCAGATGGCTTCCCCAGGCTCCTTACTGGTCCCCAGCCTGGCCCCTCTCCACTTTGGGGTTGTCTCCAAACCCCAGGGCGGCCATGAGGTCATCCCCGTCGTCGAACATCAGCTCGTCTTTCTTCCGGACGGGGGTGTCGCCAGGAGTTAGGGGGACAGAGGGGCCTATGAGACAGCATAGGGCCCAAGGATCACGGCCACCCTCTTGTCCGCCCACCACCCCCTTCACCGGCTATTAGCTGGGCCTTTGTGGGGGAGGTGGCAGGCGCCCCACCTGGGCCCCTGAACCTGCCCCGCACGAGACACTCTCCCTCCCTGCTGTCCCTACCTCGGTCTTTGGCAGGGCTGGGGCTCCGGGCAGGGGCCGCCTTGTGCTCGGGCCTGGGCAGCTGCTTGGCCACGTCTTCCTCCTCATCCGAGAGCAGTCCGGCCAGCGGGTCTTCAGT